GTCTGCCTCATATCTTGACTTACATCTAGAAATTGACAATGAGGGTCGGTTAAAAACAAAACTTTACGACAAAAGGGATGATTTCAGCTTCCCAATTGTGAACTTTCCATTTCTATGTAGCGACATTCCAGCAGCGCCTGCATACGGAGTATATATCTCCCAATTGATACGATATTCCCGGGCTTGTGTTTCATATCATGATTTCCTTGATAGAGGATTGCTGCTCACAAGGAAGTTATTAAACCAAGAGTTCCAAATGGGGAAGTTGAAATCATCCCTTCGTAAATTTTACGGACGCCATCACGAGTTGGTTGGCCGTTATTGAATAACCGCTTCACAGATGATATCGGATATGTTCCTCATGTCGTAACTACAATACTCTCCCTTTTTACGAATGTGACTTACCCAATTAGACTATTTACCGGATTTGTAATAACATAAGCAACACGATTGGTGTCACATGTGGAGCAGGATCTGCTTACCCTTCCGGAGCACCTGAGATCACCCCCGGGTTTTGGTGAGGTTCATGTTGCTTAGTCTTTGGTTTTCTATGTTGTGTCATCTGTACTAATATTTGTCTGTTTGTCTTTTTATTTTTGGCCATGGCGTTGTCAGTTTGTTTTTGATCTATGAGTTTGACTGTCCCTCTGGTATCTTTCGTTCCTATTTTAATTTATATCTGTCTCAACTCGAAAAACGTTGCAACAGTCTTAAATAAACTTCAAACGTAGGAAAGGTTGTCACATTTATAAAAAGACTGCTGCAACCATTTTAAAGTTGTAACAGTTAATTTATAACTGCCCAAACGAGAAAAACGTTGAAACAGTCATAAATTAACTGTCATGACTGTTTAAACGTCAAAAAGGTTGTTATAGTTTAAATATCTTAGATACAACCATTAGATAGTAAAAGTTAATTTATAATTGTCTCAACTTCCAAAACGTTGATACAGTCATCAAGACTGTCAAAGTCGATCACGGATACAAAATGACTGACAGTCCAGGATAGGCTGGATCAGTTGTAAAACAATTTTACCGTATGCAATATTAATACGTTGTTACAAAAAAAAACCAGAACTATCACATCAATTCAATACCTTGATTTGAATTTAAACTGCTTGTAACAAAATTAATATATTGAAATATTTGCAACTGGACATTTTGCAATTTGCTTATGTTTTTAATGCGTTTCATTTATTTACTTTTTTTAAGGTTCCCTTGCCTCTCATCTCTTCAAAAAAAAAAAATGTAGATCAGCATTAGATTCCTGCAATTTCACACGGGTTATTTTTTATACATATTTAATACTGCATGTGCAAAAAATCTCACCTATCAGATCAATCGAAAAAGGTTTTACGAAATATGTGTTACCAATTTTATCTTTAAATGTAACAATTAACATTTTTCAAAATTATTAATATGACAATTTTTTAAGTAAGTCAAAGGTGTGAAATCATTTATGCATGCCAGGTGTTATTTCTAATACCCGGAGTTTTTAACACGAACCGCATACTTTCATAATAACAGCCAACATACTGTAAACCGTTTTGATGTTAGAAATTTATCTTGATTTTTCTAAAATTTGCAAGGCTAACCTATTACATATGCTTTTCATTTATGTAAAAAAAAAAAAAAAAAATGTCTAGCCCCAATTTTAATTCATTTTAGTTTATTTTATTTTTGAATAGTTTAAGTAAGTTAAATATACTGTTTACTGTCCTGAATGGTCTTTTTAACATTAAATTGTCATAATAAATATTATTTCACAATACTCTGGCAATAAATTAGATCATTAAGTCAAAAGTATTATGACTCATAATAATTTATATTTTCAATGAGTGTTCTCAACAAATTTATCTTATGTTCATACATATTTCGTAAAAGTTTATTTATTAATGGATGGACATAATGTATATGACCGACACAGTAACTCTCGTCAGTGATTTTGTAAAACTTTTTCAAACCAGAAGACTCACACTGTTTCAGACAATGAGATCAGATCTTTGATTGTTTCGGTTTAGTTTATTCACACTACGATTAAGAGCTTGTTGTATTCTATAGACTCCGGTCTTTTGTTGGATATCTTCTTGTGACTTTTGTCATTTCAGTTCATTTCATACTGACGTTTACCCAAAACATATATTTATGAAATTTACAGAAATGCTGGGCTGATATTAATATATTATTCAACCTGTAGGTAGTGAATGTACAATTTGATTTTGTTTTGGAAATTTTTAAATTGTGGCATAAATCAGGCAAAAGGTCAGGCCATATATACATGTACGTCTGGTTTATTCTGATAATATTCGTCTTCAAACAGTGATGGAAACAGTTAAGATATGCGTCATTTAAAATTTAAATACATGTGAAACATTATTTTACTGTGGATATTTCATTGCATTTTTTATTTTGTTATAATTTAATTTTGGATGTAACGTGTCTTCTGATTGGCTGACGTTGTTTTGTTTATCAGCTCATAGACATAATTTTGTCATGTGACCGTGACGTCATCAACGTTTTTTCATGGTTTACTCCGGTTTAAAATGGAGTTTAGAATTAAATTATAAGAAATGACTGTAATATTTTTTCTCTCTATTCGAAATAACATAAAAAATGTGGTGCACACTTTAAAATAACCCGCTACGCGGGTTATTCAGTGTGCACCACATTTTTGATGTTATTTCTTCATAGACAGAAAAAATATTACAGTCATTCCTTAATGAATTTTTGAACTTCTACGGCCTATAAAGAATAGAAGGGTGACATTTGGTACTTTTAATTAACACTGAACACTTATGAGCACCACTAAAACCTGTGCTCCGTGCATGATAATATATACTTAATATTTGCTTGAGACAGTACATAGATAAACAATCGTTATAAAACTGTGTTTGTTGCATAATTGTTGGGTTTCTGATAGCAAGTTTTGTGGCTGGCAAGGAGACATGTACATTCACAGATATTAACATATTATGTTAAATTGATACTTCGCATCAAATTTGATGCAAGCATGTTTAAAATAACATTGAAAGCGTCCAGTTGTATTGTTTTCACTCGTAGGTTAATAGGTAAAATTTAATGGGCTTACATGTACTGGTAAGGTCATTTACATGCATGAATATCTCTTGGAGAATGCCTGCAAGTTTTCAGAAGAAAAGGGATTTTTTAATCATATAGGTTTATGTATCATTTGTAAAATGTCATATACAATGTACATGTATATTTTCGAGATTGAATAAGTGAACATGGTTTGAAATGAATTATTATCAAGAAGAAATAGTAATTTACAGTAGCATGCAAAAAAAATATATAGTATATATGTTTATGAAAAATTTCACAGTCAGGGTAAATTAGTTAGTGGACAACCAATTGATTTTGAGGGTGAGGATGGCAGATTTTCAAAATAAATATTCTGGCCCTCATTTAGGTGAAAATAAGTAATATTGCCTTATCATGCTTAATACACATGAAAATTAATATTCCGGCCCGAAATATTAAAAATGTTCAAATAATTTTTGACTCGCGTATCTGGTCACATTTACATAGGCATCCAATAGTTACAATTAATCCAGAAAAAGTTTGTTGGACTCACATTTATGAACTATTATTTTCTTTTTTAAAGAAGTATTGTCAGCGGTTATTTTTTAAGGGACATAGTGAACGTCCCTCTCCTTTGACTGAAAAATATAAAATCTTCCAAAACAAATTTGACTCGCTATGCTTAGAAATTTAACCATTTTGGATATTAACACTCCCATTTCCTTGGACCCTGGATCCACCCTTGATAGTAATGCTATTATATTTTCATATTACATGTATTTATAGAATATATATTCTAGACTTCATTTTGACTGCTCTATATGTATGAAGTTGTAAGTGTATCCTATGAAAAGTTGATCTGTAATACAAAAGTTAGATCACTTTAGGAGTTGAAAAGTTTATTCTGAGGGGAAAGGGAGGGGAGGGGGTGGCTGGAGGGATTTTTTTGTGTCTATTTGTGGATAAGTAGAAACTATGCTGACCCTGGTCTGAATGAAAATTAATAATTTGGCCACTCTTTATGTTGGAAATAAATATTCTGACCGCATTAAATTGTTCTAGCCCCCCTCTTATAATTAAATGGTCGTCACTTTTGGAGGTAGTTCAGTGTTTCTACAGAAAAAAGTATATAGCTTGCTTTGCGGTTCGTTTTGCCGGCACAGTTATCCATAGTTGATAACTTCTATGCCATTCATGTCATTCGACTGGTAGAAAGTTGTCTCATTTGCAAACTTACCACATCTTCTTATTTTTATGATATTATCAGAAAACATTCTCAAATTAAATTTTCAAGTCTGTCTTCTTGTAACGACATTTTGTTTTGTTGAAAGCTATATGTTGACCTCTAGATTATGTTTTATTTTGTTGATGTCTTATCATAGCAATCCAGAATACTCAATATCACCTTTATCATGTTTTAGTCTATTTGTATTTTATAAACTTTTCACAGCACTATAAAATGAAGTTGTAATCATGGTAAGCAAGATACATGTACAGTTCTAGTTGTGAAGCCACGAAGAAGAAACTTATGGACTTTCTTTTGCTAGAAGCTTTCAAAATTGTAGTAGAAAAAAAAACAAAAAAATTTGCTCCAACCCATAAATAAAAAATAAAATAAGCAGCTGCAACAATAACACGTGATATTATGCTTATTGTGTATATTGAAATTATTGCAAGAATAAATGGTAATAACATTTACATGATTTTGAAGGCATTTAACCAGAAGCAAATAAAATGGATCTGTAGAAAAACATGCCTGAGACGTGTTACTGTTAATATTGCATCTAATCAGACTTGGGGTCAGTTATATTGGAATGTAATTAATTAAATTACACATTACATTGCAAAAATGATCAATTAAACTAATTACCATTACACGGTTTTTGAAATGTAGTTAATTAAATTACAATTACTTTACTAAAGTAACTGATTAAATTACACATTACATTTTATCACAATTTTATTAAACAATATGTAATATACAATATATGTATAGCATGTGTTAAATATACATGTAAGCTTACAACACAGTTTTAGCATTGCATTTGATCATCATTAGTCATTCAAATCTTTTCCATTTAGCCTGCATCTCTCTGGTCTGAACACTATGCGAGTAATACCAAATAGTCTTTCGACAGGAGCTGATGTGGCAGGTATTGCTTGTGGATTTCTGGCTAACGTTGAAAGAAGAGGAAATTTGTTGCTATTAACTTTCCAATGCATTTTGGGGTTTTCTGACATCTCTGTGCATGGTTCTGAAATTTAGTCATTAACTTAATATATCTAAATTATAAATTTCTTCATTTTTTTTTTACTTTACAAATATTAAAAAATATGCTTGTCACAATATTCAAAATAATTGTAATACAAAACATGTATAATGCCTATATATTTGCAATATTTTGCTAATTAGATAAGATACATGTAATAGTAGCATTGTCCCTTAGCTGTTTTATTACACATATTAATCTGATTAATTGTTATTTATTTTTACTACTGATGATTTTTATTTACAAACCTTTGTGTATACTAATTCAACAAAATGATTGTATGCAAGGATTTAAAATTCAAAATGAACTGTCTAAGAATTATTCAACAGTGTTCACACATTTTCTTGACATAGCCTAGGGCTTTTTTAATAAAAGGTGATTGATTACTAATCAGTTTAGATAAAGAAAAAAAACTGAACAGCACTAAGATATGATTATCACAAATTTATCTTTTTATTATAAGACTTTTAAAGAAACATTTCTGCATGTCAAATAAACAATATCAAAACTTAAGAATAAAGTACAGATTTGTGTATTTAAATTTTTTTTTTACATGAAATATTAATATTTGTAAACAAATATTATTTTACAATCACTATTGTCATAATTTCTTATCATGCACACCATAAAAGTACATGTAATTGAAATGTAGTTGAAAGGTAATTTACCATTACATACTTTTGTCATTGTCACTAATTAAATTACCATTACATGAAATTTTAAAAATGCTCAATTACACATTACTTTCAATTACATGAAAAATTGTAATGCATTACACTTAATTTATATCATTAAATTTTCATTTACCCTATCCCTGCATCCAATATGACAGACATTTGGATACATCTACCATAATAAGTCCGTCATTGATGGGCGTACAAACATAGGAGACATCAGAAATAATCATCAAGGAATTATTGTTTCATAGCCTTAACTGACATATTGTTGTTAAATGTGAAGCCACCTATATAAATGCTAGTAGTCGTATGCATGATATGTTTTTTATCTTCTCAAAATGTTTGTATCATTCATTAACTGAATATGGAATATGGTGGGATGGACCACTCTGACACATGCTTATTTTTAGTGGTTTTCGTTTTTTGCTGATTATTATTTGATTGTTTGTTGCTTTTGTATATAAATTAATTTGATGGTGTTTGTTTACATTTTGTTACATGTATGTCGGGACCTTTTATAGCTTGCTATGCGGTATGGGTTTTGATCATTGTGCAAGGATGTACAGTAACCTATACAATTACATCATTTGATCTACGGTTGATAGTTGCCTCATTGGAATTCATACATGTACCACATCTTCTTATTTTGAATCGTACAAGACTACAATAGTATTAATTGAACGTATATAGTTGTCTGAAATTTATCAAAAAGCAGCTGTGATTAATGGTGATATAAATAAAATGATACATTGAAGTATTGTTTAATATGCATGACCAATTTAAAATGCCAGTTTGGCTATAAACAGCAATTTAGACTAATAGTATTATTAATATACCTTTTGACTTTAAGTACAGCAAGCAGTCATTTGACACTAAACCATTGCAATGCCATCATTTACTCCAGATGTGATGCAATTTAAGTTTCACTGAAACTATGAATTCTCATTATCCCAAATTGCTCTATATATTTCACTGAAACTATGATTTTTCATTATTCTTAATTGCAATTTTAAATGAATACTCATCCAAGGTATCCATAAATTCAGATATGATGCACTATAAATATTCACTGAAACTAAGAATTCTTATTATTCCAAATTGCTATTTTAAATGAATAATTATTCAAAGTATTCAGTCATCCAATAATGGGGTCTTTCTAACAAATCATAGGTTTCCGATTTGTTCAATACACAATGTCTTTCTTATCCAGTTTAATTCTTACATCAATACATCGAAAAGAAAATGAATAAATAAGGAAGTAATGAATTCATTCACTTTTAAGTAAACACTGACATCTATATTTCCTATGTGTCAAAGTGCATATGTATCCGGCTTCATTTTCTTGCTTTTTGTGAATTCTACAAAAACGATATATGAGAATAAAATATTGTATCTAATCTAATATTATAAACCTAGAAGAAAGTCACAATTACAATAACTTTATCTATTTCCAAGAAAACTAGCAAACCTTATTTGTTTGATTGTGTTTTTCTTTCTACATTTATGTTTCCTGAAGTGTGTTACTTATATAGTAGGGTTACTGTCTAATTGAGGCTTACACCATACTCTTTTTCTTACAATATTTTTAAATCATTTCCTTCTAAATCAAACAAATGATTTCTTTTGCAATTAACACCTACAATTTGTTATTGAAAATAAATCACTTCAAAGATAAGTTAAAATGACAAAAGACAGGGCATTGTTACTATGCTTTGGACTTCCTTTTGTTAAGTGCATGTAGGGATTTTGTGTCATGATTGAATAACATTTGCAGAGGTAAATGTAGAATCTTTGTCCCATGGAAAACTTTGCCTTGAATGTTAGAAAACTAAAAAAGGTAACATTTCCTTGTAAAATTTAGTAGTAAACCTTGAGTTTAAATTGACATCATTTGTGTTATATTTTTTACTTATTGATTGATTGATTGTTGGTTGCTTAACGTACATTGGAATTCCTGATTATTACCTATTCAATGTTATTATCCAAACTATTACCTATTCAAATTTCACATTTACATAGTGAATTCATGTTCAGTAAATATATTATTTATTTTGAATATGAATTATTGGTATTTCTAACATTTTTTTTTTAGATCTTACAAATTTTGTTGAAAATCAAAAAGTATATCAATTAATTCCTATTCTAAAAAGAATACAGTTTAATGATGCAAACTTTGCTCTTTGCTCTTTGGACATGTTTCCTTTTTCTTTTTAACTATACTTAGAAAACAATGTTGCAATAAACATGATAAAATACTTTTAGATATTTTATTCATTGTAACCATTTCTCCTGCCATGAGAGCGTTGGGAGAAGTGGTCAATTTCTTGGAGAAGTGAAATTCCATTACCGATTCGTTTGCATAGTGTTTTCGTGGACATCATTAAAGGAGAATTGTTTTATTTGTTCAATAAAAATATACTTGCAGTGTTTTATATGATAATAATGTAAACAATGTTTGAATTGAAAATTCTTAATAAAAAGGTTTAGAGCATGTAGTTGTTATTTATTCATTCAACCTTTTGTGATGTCAACTTGAAATTAAGTTTGTTGCTTACCTAGTAATATTATCATGCATTATTCCCATGTGCATCTGCTTCAATTTTTTAAGAAAAATATGACTCCCTGTGTATGTGATGACTTTTTAATGACTGGGCAATTTAATGTTTGTCATCACATGTCATTATGTTGTAAAATATTGACTGTCCAGGATATCATGTCAGCTGTAAGTTGAGAATATCGTGAAAGATTGTAAGCCTATATATAAATGAACATATTTATCAACCACATTTTAATTAATCGAGAAAGAGCTAGTTTTTATCATTTTGTTGTAAAAGATATCTCCCTCATTAACAAATTGGTCGTGAAAAACTCACTGCTGATCACAAGCTGAGTGATTACGCAACATCCTCAGATGAAAATCATCGTAAAATGATAACTCAAACAGACGCTCGGTTTCTCGTTTTAATAGTTTTGAATGTTAAATCCATGGATGTTATTTCTTTTAAACGTCGACAGTATTAGTCCTGGGTCGTTTTCGAAAATTTCCATTTGTATTGTCTGTCGCCATCTTTGTTTACCTGTGAGACTTGTAAAATCCAAGTTGTCTCCCTTTTTATGTTCATATGGTAGTAATTATTCAACTTTCCATAATTAGAATTACTTTTGCATATAATGTCTTTCCATGCTACATGCAAGGGTTCAAATTTTTAGTTGCGTTGAAACGTTCTTGCCATCGCAAGCAAGAATATATGGAGTGGACATATACAGATAAATGATTTGATCTCGAAGTTAATTGTCAAGGTCAGAAGTCATCTTTCATGGGACGCATCACATTTTCTGGAGGTGCTGCGTCCATGTGCCAATTATCAAAAGCTTATATCAAAGGATAAACAAGTTCCAGACAAAAAAGTGTGAAAACATCAAGTCTTTTTTTACCTTGAGGTCAAATATAAGGTTCAAAGGGAAGCCAACGTTATATTGTTAACATCAATAACATTGACTAATGACGTATGGCTAATTAAATGAGAATCGTCTTTAATTTTCTAATTATTACTATCGTTTTGAAGATATATACAAAACAATCAGCAGAAACAAACAGTTTTGGAACAGTATACATAGTAAGGGTTGATATGGCAACCAACTGAAAAAGGTGTGGAAGGGACTCTTTACTGTATTAGGATCTATCACTTTAAAACCTTTAGAAATTCAATATAGTTGCAATTTAGTTCATATTATACCATTTCGGTTTGCCAAAGCATACTTTTCTCATTTTTAACAAGTTTTACTATTTTTGCAATGTTTTACCTTATTTTATGGAAATATAAAAAGAGATCCAAAATTTGTATTTCCTTTTTTTTAATACTAACATAGTTCTAGACTTTTAAATAGGTAGTTGCGTCATAAGTGTTGTTTTCTGCTGGAGATTAATAATTGAAAACTGCTAGAAACAGGATTTTTTCCCCATACATTTCATTGAGAATTCGCCTTATAAGCCCTTCTATTGATTTGAAAAAAAAGTCAAATTCACAAAAAAATTATAAAAAAAAATATTTTCCCAGTCAGTATGTTATACCGAGTTCGAAAAATATATTTCTTATTAAATAAAGGTGGGTTTCTTTTTGTTGAACACCCCTGCCTGGTGCTCTCTGGCATTGCTTCTTAATATATTTCAATATTTTCGATTGAAATAACTATTACTAAAAATGACAAGTTTTTCACATATCATAAAAATCAATATAGTTATTTTTAGAAAAGATTACATTAAAGTTTCAAACTACGTTTATAGTATCTTTTTCAATGTCGTTTGCCAGCTTAAATTGAAAAAAGAAGCGCTTTCATATATCAGTTTTAATATAAAACCATAAAAAAGTAAATAGTGGTAAAAAGTATTCATACAACAGTTTGTAAAAGGAATTTGGTTTGTTTTCCTCTGTTCGAACATCTTTGGAAATGCACTATATCGAACTAAAATGTTCTGCATACCGTTATCAAAGCTCAGTTCAGTATTTCAAGAGCTCAAAAACACTTCCGTTATAAATACAATTTTTTGGTAAGTACACATATCTAAGCCAGAAAATTGGTGATATCATTAACGGTACCAATCTTACTTCACCAGATGCCCATCTCGACAATAAATGTCCTTACAGTAAAGCGCAAACCAGATGAACCAAAGCTGAACAGTTTATCTGAATTGATCAAAGCTGTTCGTGCATACAAAAACGTATTCAAAAACAACGATCTACAATGAACACACGGGTTTCTAACCCTTTCAAGATGCCAAAGGTTGTGGATGCTTAATCTTGTCTCTTTACAAAAAAAAAAATATGTTATACAGACAAAAGCTCAAACAATATTGTTTTTATATGCGGAAGTCATTATTTGGAATGTCTAAATAAACTGAAATTCACAACAAAACTGAAAATCCCACATATACCCCCACAGTAAAACTTCCCCTCATGGGGATTGGATGTGGTGTTATTCTAGGCGCATGATCATCGAAAGATGTAAAATGGTTTTAAGTTCTTCTCTCGAGAGATGTCTTAAAAATCAAATGTGTGTGTACAGACGATTTTTAAAGGTGACGATTATTATGATTTTGTTTGCTTATACTGTAAGGCCTATATATATTATAATTTAATTATCCTTGCATTTAAGTACATCCTTAATGATTCGATGGGTAAGTTGGAGGCCATTTGATAACACACCATCATAGACAGATAACCTATAAAAAAATTCAAAATTGTATTGGTATCTATATATAAATTATATTTAGATCCATATGCCTGCATCGGATCGAAGGCATAGTAATTTAAGCCCCTGCTCGCTTCAAATACTGTGTATTATATAAGTCATTAAAAAGCTTTCATAACAAGCAAACGAAACACTACCCCAGTGACACATCCTCTTCTTGGGGATTGGAACTGGTGTAGTGGTGAAACTTCCTCGTCAAGGGGCTTTGGATCTGGTGTAGTGGTTAGCACCTCTGTCTGACATGCTAGGTCGTCGAAAGATTTAAACAATGATTGTAGGTTCGTCTGTCGAGAAATGACTTAAAAATCAAATCTGTGTATTCAGACAATTTTTATGGTAACACTTACTATGATACAGTTTAGTTTAACTATAAGGCCTATATATATATATAAATATAAGTCTTAAGGTTTTTGCAACGATACTTATATGAGATAGTAATATACGGACAAGATGTAATTAAAAATATTTCCACTCAACAAGTGGCCTTCTTTGGTGTTAATGTTTTTTGTTTTTTTTTTATCAAATGCAATACACCTTATCGCTATTCCCGGCTGACCCGAGCATCTGTCCCGCTTGAACTATTGACGTCATACAACAATCACTTTTCCATTGTGGCGTCAGATATTTTGTATAATGACGTCAAAATTTTACGGGAACCTGTGTGATGTTCAGTAAAGGCGGACAAATAGCGATAAGGTGTATACAATAGGTCTTAATGTTTAAAAATAACTCAGTAGTACAGTTTAATTTCAAACTATTGATTTGATCCGAAATCCGCCATATAACAACACAAAACTCAATATTATGCTGACTTGGCTGCGTACTTTTACATAAAAAATTATTAAAAGTAGTAATTCGTGTAAATATATATGAAATAATAGATGAACACCTCTATGAACAGAAAATGCTAGTACTTCCTGTTGATTCAATTTGGATGAACTACATTAAGTGTTTTATCCAGAAACATTCCCGAACCACTCGCTGGCATCATTCCCGTGAATGTTTTGCTCAATTACTAGGACTTTCATGCGGTAAAAGTTGTCAAGTTTGTAGTCTGACTGTCTGAAATTTAGGCTAAGCGGGAGAAGTGACTTCTTAGTGATAAAACTCCTATAAAATAAAACTATAAAATATTTGGCAAAGTGACCCAATATGTTGGCGAGTCAAAGCAACCATTCCATAAACGTCTCAATGTTCATAGGAGTGATATCACTAAGAAGCCACTCCTATTAGTTAGCAAACATTTCGGGCAGTCGGATCAAAAAGTAGGCGACTTTAACCGCATGAAAGTCCTAGTAATATGAAATTTTATGACAGACTGATTTTCGGACTTATTAGTCAAAAACGTTTTCGTGAAGACTAAGTCACATACTGAATGTGCAGAGGTTAAACATATTTGTGAGCTCTCAACACTCCTATAAAATGGGACATTGGAATAAATGCACATCATTGAACTGACTAGTCAGAAAAGGTTGATTCATCAGATCGGTAATAAGCACACAAACAAATGATAAAGATACATAGAGTACTATTCTAAGTTACCGAAAAGCTAATTTCAGTAAATAAATCCGTGTTTTCCAAGACTAAAATGTCAAATAGTACATCTCAAGCAAACATCTGCTCCATCGTATGACGTTATCATATCTCAGTTAATACGTTACGCTGGTGCATTTTCACACTATGCGGACTTCATAAACAGGGGTATGCTCCTTACACAAAAACTGCTTCAACAGAGTTATGAGAAAGACAGACTAAAAACACTAGATAAGTTTTACGTTCACCATCACGAAATAAATGACCGATACGATGTGTCGAAGTCTCAACTCACTAGCGTCATGTTTTCTTGGTCTAAGATCTTTAGATATAAGTAAAGTCGACTGATCTTTTTATGGTATAAATTTATAAAAAAAAGTGAATTACGAAAAAGGGAATTGACACATTAAAAGTAATTCATAATTAATTCGCAAAACAAATATTTTTCATCGTTATCAACTGCCAGATAAACATAATGAAAAATGTCTCCTTATTTCTTTTGCCGTCTGCACAATGGAATTACTTTGGCTTTCTGTGTATGAGTGTACATTGATTTATATTTAGAAGCGATTTCTAGATTCAAGGAATAATAAAGAGGTATACAATGAAGAAGATATCTTTTCTTTAACATACGTCCAGTTCGTAATCTTGTTTAAATCTCGAATTCTTCTGAATCAAAGGCTACTATTCAAAGTATAACGAGTGCATACAACAAGTCATCGATCATGTCTTCATAATAACGTTACATGTATAATGTCTATTGAAGTTATATTTTATAACGGATGTGGTCGTGTGGTCTAGAGCACTGGACATGAGGCTAGGCGATTGGTGCTGTAGTGTATCAAAGGTGTGAGTTCGAATTCCGTTGAGGGACAAACATTTGTCAGCATAAAAGTCTATTTCTAACACTGTTGGGTGTAATTTTCAGACTTATATAAATATTTGTATTAACCCTGTGTCTCAAACACACTGAGATCCGGTGGGCATATATATTGTATGGTTGTCACTTGCTCAGACTT